CTTTTAATGCATTGTCCGTGGGGGGATTGCTTCTTCAAGCTCGACTCTATGGGTTTTCCAACATTGATGCATCCTTGACCCCGTACCGATGACGAAAATGGAGCAAATTTCTTGTTGTCTGTGGGTCTCTCTCCCTTCCGTTCACATGGGAGAAAACTCGGGTACCTTCGAATTGCGTCCAGACTCTCCATGGTCCCTAAGCTCGTTCCGGAGAGAAATCGGAGTTGCGGGCTTACTCCAGAGTCGCCCAGCGTTTCGCTGGCTGCGGATAGCCAGAGAGCAGCACTCCAGTTGCGACTGTTGCTCTGGCGTGGCGAATCATGCATCTTCATGTATATGGACACAACATCGATTGACCGTCTCATCTTTCAACTTTCAGAATCCGCGCTAATCTGACCCGAAATGACGAGACACGGAGCAATGTTAACGGGGGCCACGCGTCGCGCAGCCGATTGCGAAAGAGATGGCACGGCCCTTTCCAACGTGTTTATGAACACGATTAAGAATACAGTCAACTCAGCCCTTCCAGCAAGTGCAGGAAAGCTTGGCACGAATTCTAATTCACGGTGGATGGTGGGGTCCAAAGCCAGGTCTTGGCTCCGTAGCCTAAACTATCCAATCGCCCTAAATCGCGTTGCCTTCAGCCCTGTTAATCATTACCCAACATCCGACCGGATACAAGCACGCTAACTAACTTCGCCGAAACTCTGTCATAGGGATGCTTCTAGTAGCGGGTGGGGGCGGGTCTGACAAAGCCGCGACAACCGACGCGTCAGCTCCCTTTCGACTACATCGAAGGCTGATACGGACTTGAGGCCAGTGTAAGCTGACAGAGTTGGCGTCTATTGGTCGACGTGATTGACGCTGTGCTACCTGCAAATAATATGCATATGCAACTTGATAACTTGATATGATTGGATTTTAAGTCGAATTTGAACCTCGGCAGGGGCTGGCAAGTCTATGTCGGCAACCTTGCGAAACAGCAAATCCTTAACCGTGGCCATGGACTTGAGGGCTACAACGTTCGCAGCTTATTACCTTGCATCTGAGGATGGCCACTCGCACACAACCTCGAACTGTTCATGCATGAACTAATCTAAATATTCTACCCAAGACTAAGCTCCTAAACGCTGGGCTGTTGTGCCATGCGGACTCTTGGCGTCCTCACTACTCCCTCTATCAGCAGATTTCAAATTCTAAATGAGTCTGACGATACCATAAATGTGCCAATGTAAGCCCTGCCATAGAAATAGCGGTGTGCAATCTCGGGAAAGATGCAACGTAGGAAGTGTGATACAGCGAGCCAAGTCATACTGGGAGCTGAATGGGCTGCTGTAAGCAACAGATCGACAAGCAAATAAGCACCTGAGGTGAGGCAGCGAATCAAGCATTGGAGCATGAAACACGGTGTGAAGTCGTTTATCGGCATGATGTTCGGAGAATAGGACATCCTTTACCGAGCCCCATGACAGAGTTGCTTCCGCACACCAGCATCAAACATCATTGAGCCGTAAAGCTGTCATGTCAAACACCAATATCCTTGTACGACTCTTTGGAGAGTCCAACATGTATGAGTCGGCATGGATGAGAAACTATGATGATGACGATGGAAGCCGATAGCATTACCGTTGATGTTCAGGGATATGAGCCCAGACATTACCCTCCACCCTAGAACATTAAATATCTGATCCCTTACTCTGGGCCACTGACTGGCTATCTCCAAACCTTGTTTTGAATATTCCTTCTTCCCCTCAATGGAACGGCCTTTACTTTTTCAACACACCTAGCTTTGAGAGATCCTGAGGCGCCAAGATGACGAGCCTGCAGGCTTCGATGCTCAGGATACATATATGTATTATGTGCCCTTTGAGAATAATTAGTTCCCAGTGATATCTGACCGGATTTTCTGGATAGGACCACGCTTATTGCATCTGCTACCCTGCATTAACGCCACTGAGATTAATCCAGATACTGATGGGAATCACAGTACAGCTGGTGTGGTGTTACATTTTGGCATCACCGTACCGGTATTCGGCAAAAAAATTTCAAAATTCCAGAAAGTATGAACGTAAGATTGAGTTTCATTACAAAGCTTTAGCATGTAGTATATCCCACGATGCTCACCCTGGAACGGTCCATGGGCAACTTGCAGCCGTGATGGCGAGCTATGTAGCGTCGGAAAGGATGCGAGAATAGGCCCAGCTCAGTTGGACCACCACTGGATATGGTAGACTTTGTCAGAGATTTCGCGGCGTGACTGGAGATGCCTTTTGTACTACCTAGGTAGTTACCAGTGCCAAGGAGAAGGCACAGGTCAAAAATGTCAGCAGTATCTACCCAGAGCTTGAGCAGCGACTGTAAATTCTGTCATCAAACTCAGTGTTCCGAACAACAGAGCAGTGATCTGTTGGGTTTCTGGTTTCCCAAGGTATCGCTCACGTGTCAGCCAAGAAAATATACGGTACCGGCCCTAACGTGGCTATTAATCTGCCAGTGTCGGATTTTGATGCCGCCGCTTCAGCATCGTGTGCCCTGCAGCAATAAAAGAGTTTATCGTTATAGTAGCCGAGTTATGCTACAATTGCACAACTTAACTCACAGGACCAATACCGCCGAATCACAATGGTCATGAGGGGCAGATACATGGAGGTTAGGTACGACAGTTGCCAAGAGTTTCGGTTTGCACTCGGATGTAGGAACTGGATATGGAAAAGAGTAAGAGGATACAAGACTCCATTTTCAGTGAACACAACAAACGTCCCAAACGGAAGGGTAAAACTAGGCATCACTTTAACTCAGCTTAGCATCACAGACGTCTCCATGTCATCTTGGTGGAGGGATATGGCTCGAGCCTGAACATGGGATTGTCATGGCAGGATCCTAGGAACGGAGGCACCAGACGACCTCCGGCAGTCAGCGAAGAGATCCATAGAGGCACCTTTGGCGCGTTAAAGAAATACCTGTCATCCACCTTTCGTCTGCCGTCATTGGTCGTGCTTAATCTAACAGGCTGGGCGGTTGTTGATCTTGCCTAGAAACACCGTCAGACACGATGATTAAGTGGAGTTGAGATGGGACGAATTGCCACAACCGCCAAGTAAAGCCCTAGCAATAGGTGGCGGCAGGGTGAGCATGAGACGGCACATAGATTCGCACTTCTTTACCAACTCAGGCTGATTCATAATGTCCAAAATGTCTCAGTGGCTTGCTGTAGGTCGTTGCGGTCGATGTGATCTGTTGTGGACTCTCGACTCTCTGTATTGTAAGCTGTGGGAGCATTGTTGTATGTTACCATGATAAGTATCCAACGTAACAATCATTTTTTTTTAAACAAGAAAACAGAGGCCAAGTTACGGATAAAGCCTTTCGGAGAGGTCTAGTCACGATCTCGACCCGGCCAGGGTAATACGCCAGACCCTGTTTGCTGAGGAAGAGGAAAACGCTTCATATTTGGGTCATGAGTGGCCTTCATCTCCTTTTATAGTTGGATTTTGTGAGATTAATGGTTTGGGGCGCGCAAAATCGACTGAAGGTCCTTTCCAGAATGAAAGAAGCTGTACAGAGGAACCAGACTGGCTGTTACTTACTACGACGCTCCTGGACCTGCCTTCGTCTGAGGCGCCAAGACTCGGCGCAACCAGATCAAAGAGGATAGAGTTAGCATTCTACATGGAAGTTCAAAAAGGCTACAAGTTCCAATTCGTATTGGTGCTTTCAAGGGAGTGTCGGTCTACATGGACTAACTGGTTGACAAGAGATATGGTGATGGGATCACTATTGCACGCGGCAGCTGAGATTTACCTATTTTTTTCGTCGCATCTCCATCTTTCATCTCCGGGTAAAGTCTGCAGTCCTTTCTGTCGTCAGATTCCCATCATTGGTACTTCTATAGCTTGATTTCTACCGAGTGGCATAGGTCAAAGGGCCACAAAAAAAAAAAAAAAAAGCGTAGAGTTGTGCTGTAAATGAAGAGTTTTACTGGAAGAGTGGCGAGTACGGGATGTCGAATAGCCTTCAAGACCTTCTAAAGACCACGAAATAAAAGGTCTGAAGCATATTATCTCGGGTGATTTTCAAGGACTTTCTTGCTAAAGGTGGAAACGTTCGACATCCATTCAGCATGACCGACCAAGATATTGCCTCTGGTGACTTGCAAGCCATGCAAGAACAAGATTATAAAGAGCATTAGGCCGATGTTGACAGCAAACTCAAGGACATTCACCTCGGACTCACCAATGCCCTCACCAGGCTTCTTGGTTATTCTGATCTCGACGTCTTGGGCGCTGACATGGACAAGGTCCTCAACCTGGTTATCTGACATTCTCTCCGCTGTCAAGTCTCTGCTCCTCGTCCTCGGCCTCCAGTCCCAGTGATTTTGGTTCAGAACCAGAACGCTCTCACACACACAACTTCCTCGGCACTAGCACAGAGGTTGAGCGATGAGCACTCTGGCGCACCTCGCAAAATCCCAACAGCTTTTCACTAGCATGTACATAACCAAGCGACCTATTGAAAATGGTCGCAACTTGTATGTTCTTGGCAAAATGTCGTGCCGATTCCCGCCCGCCGCATCGGGTGACCTCCATCACAAACGCAACCACCACGTGAACACTCAACATGGTGACATGAAGAATCACTAGTCAGTCCGGCTCCGAAAAAAATAACCACCAATCTGTACCGCCTCCACGCACGAGGTGCAAAGGCCAAACGCACTGTCACGGGCTCACACATGCATTCTGACGGGTTCATGCGCGACGCACACCTGGCGCCCAAGGCTCATGGAGCCAGTCCACACCCTCGCATTACTACCAGCCTGTTTGTCGCATGATTTCCCAACAGGTCTCAGTAGATTTGCAAGAATACTACTCTATAGATGGTAGATAAAACAAAGAGAAAGTGTTTAAATAAAATGCCATCGCCGAGCTTCCATCGCCGTCTCGTAGGTTGATGGCCATTTCCTGGCTCATAGCACCAAGCAATCCCGTATTCCTGAGCCCCAAATGCGAGACTTGGTCCGGAAAGCCTTGACCCTCGGGTCGCTGGCCGCTACAACAGCCGCTGTGACACCCATACCCGACGCCGACATGGACTACTTGTTGAACACGGCGGGTATCGAGCTCGCCATGAAGGCGCAGCCCATGTTCCTGATGGGCCAGGCAGTGGGCAAGGCACCGTGTATTCCTTCGTGGGCCATAGTGAACGGCACCCAAGCGGCTCCGTCGGAACTGTGCGCGTGGCCAGACTCCGGATGCCATTGCCGAAACCCCGGCGTGCCGCTTGGAAGCCCGATGCCGTCGTTCCCCGTGTATTTCTCATATTCCAGGTGCGGAGATTCGGCGGTTAGGATTGCGTACAATTTGTTTTATACAAAGGACGGATTTATTCCGAATAAGATATTCGGGCACCCCTTGTAAGTTTCTCCGGTATTTGTAAAGGGGGGACGAGAAGAAAGGGAGGGTTGTGCTGTTGACCCCGGCGAAGCGGTACGCATACATCAAGCATTACATTACCATGAACCGTGATGTGCTGGCGTATACTTGGGTGGCGGTGGAATATATTCCACCACGGACTGCAACAAGTTCCTAAACGGGCTGACATGGGTCGTTAGTGACTGGGAACGAGTCGTCGTGATATGGAATAAGAATCAAAGTAGTGGGATGTGGGCGCCCGTGCAGTTATACCTGTCCCAACATACGGGGTATCAAAGGATAGAATGGGCCCAAATCAAGAACACGTTTAATGCAGCCGATGCTAGCAAGCCACGTGGTGGTCCTGACGGGCAAAAAAACTTGGATCATCCAAAGGTGACTTATATATACCGTCGCATCATGATGAGGGGGATCTACTTCAGAGGTTGACTCAACTAACAAATAATAGTGTTATATTTCGTCGGCGAAGCATGATATGCATCAGGAAAAGTCGACTGTACGCTTGTATCCTAGCCGCTTTAAAAGAAAAGAAAAGCGAAGCGAAGAAATCCAAAAGAAGGAAGCTAACATCCCCCAGGCGTGGATTGACGTCTTGTCTCAGCTTACAAACAATGCGTTTCGTTCCGACAGTTGGTGGTATTTCCCGACCAAAGGTGAGTCCAAGTATGCGTCAAGTGGTTGGCAGTAGAGCTGACTCTAGCAAAAGAGGATTATATATTGGCCGACGAGTCAACTAATGTTGGCAAGTTGATAGCAAGCTTTGACTGGGGCGATGCGGATTCAACGCCCCCATTGGTTGCGAAGGGGCTATGTAATGCTTAGAGTAGGTGAAGTATATAGTTTCCTTAGATACCCCTCCTGTTTTTTATAGACTATTCGCGCTAGTAGGAATCGCATTGCGGTTGATCTACTAGAAATAAATTAGATGTTATTATGTACGGGGCAACAACGGTCAACCTATGTTTCAGACACGGTCTGCATAAAACGGTTGAACGGCCGAGGACAAACTTTAAATTTCTGCACAACTTGATTCGCTCTTGCCGCGGAGAGAAGAATTCACCTCAGTCAAGTTGACGCCTCCTTGATCTCGACTACATCTCCGTCCCGGCTGACTAGAATCTCCTTCTTTGATGTGGACGCCTTGACAGGATTCTCTGCTGCAAAGATGTGATCCAACTCTTCGAGCTGTAGCAAATGGGCATTAGTACACATCAAACTAAACGTGTGATGGAAACCACATACGGTTCTACCCTTTGTTTCGGGCAATGTAAAGTAAATAATTATGACGGAAATTGCGTCCCAGACTGTGAAGATAATGTATGTCTTCCATCCAATATTCTTCATGGATACTGACCAAGCGTACTGGTTGAGTAAGCCGGCAAGATTGACTGTAAATAGTTTGTCAGTGAAAAAAAGCAGAGAAGGAACACGTTAAAACGAAAAAAAAAAAACCCCCGGGGGCAAGACTGAGCCTAGTATTCGGTGAGAGATACGTACCCGCTAAATTCGACATGGCCATGCCCTTGGCTCTCATCTCAAAACTCAAAACCTCAACAACGTACAGTCCCTGTATTGGCGTGATACCAATCGAGAACGCAGCGCCGAATAAGAAAATCATAGCCAGCGCGGCTTTACTGGCGGCCCCATTCGTATACACATATGCACCGCCAGCATCCTTGCCCGCGTACGACGCGGCAAACTGCGACGTCGCAATCGTCATGCCCAGCCACACAACTGTGCACGAAGTAAAGGCGAAAAGCAGCAGCGGCCGCCGACCAACCCTGTCAACCAACAGTGCTCCGCACATGGCGCATAAAAACTGCACACAGTTGTTTACGAGCGTAATATTCACCTGGGCAAGGTACGATGTGTAACCGGCCGAGTCGAGGACGGAGCCCAGAAAGTAGGACAGCACGGCGTTGCCGGCAAGTTGCGCAAAGCCGGAGACGATCAAGTTACAGCATAGGCGGTAAAAGTTTCCCTTTCTGAAGAGAACACGGTAATCCCACCAGCGCTTGTCGGCGCCGTCCATGTTTAGGCATTCTTCGTATTCACGAAGTTGGAGACTTACCCACGGGGAGCTCTCGTTTCCGTTTCCGTGGTATTTGACGAGCATGGCCTTGGCTTTTTCCTTTCTGTTGTGAACGTAGAGCCATCTTGGGGACTCCGGGAGTATAAAGGAGAAGATTAGGACGAGAGACGGGAAGAGAATCTGCCTTTGTTAGTTGATATGGTCGAGATGAGATTGAGTATGAGGGTGGGCGTGCTAACCTGGAGCCAAGTAATTAGACGCCATGAATAGTCGCCACCGACGTTTGCAGCCCCTCGCGCTGCTCCCGATGAAAGAATTGATCCCGAGAACCACAGGGTGTTGTACATTGCTGGCACATGTTGAGCAACTTTTTTTTTTTTTTTTGGAGCGGCGCTAGATGAACTTACCGCCAACGACACCACGATACGCAGGATGATTGACTTCAACCACGTACATGGGGCCACCGGTCGCTACCAACGATGCTCCAAAGCCGAGAAGGAAGCGACCTCCCATGAACTGACCGGCAGCATCACTAGTTCCCTGAATGATGGTGCCTGGTTCCCCGTTAGCAATGCTGGCGTAAAGCAACCTCGGGGCGCACCAACATTGAACGCACCGATGATGATGATAGCGGAACCGCTAGCCATGCCAGCCCGCCGGCCAAAGTGGTCGCAAACTGGAGCCAGGAAAGGAAGAGCCACAATGTTGCCAATCTGGTACATGGATGAGACGATACCAGCCCAGATTCCACTGTTGGACCCATTATACTTTGCAATAAAAGACGGGTTCTGAAGCAAATTGTTGATTAAGCTGCCGTCGTAGCCGTTGACGGTGCTGTTGAAGAAGGCAACCAGAGAGAAGAGATAAATCATAAGCTGGCCCCTGCTCCAGGGCGTCGGTGGCTCCTTTAACAGTGCTTCGTTGAAGGCCTCGTCGCCGGTAACCACTCTTGTCTCCACCTGTTTCTGCAGCGCGGTTAGCCAAGAATGCCATTGTTCCCTCAAGTGATGGATGATTGGGTTGTGGTTCGCGGGCGTAAACATACCGCATCGGTGTTGATGTGGGCGCTGGCCACAGGAAGGATTTTTTCCGCCATGGATGCTCCCCTGGCCAGCGGGAGGATTGTCTGCATCGACGTCGCTCAACCGACGGCAATGGGCTTTATGACGGGCCGGTAGTGCCAACTTGTCAATTGTCGAAGGACGTCGGACTCGGGCCAATGCCTCAAATGCTTCGACCCAAGACATGGCGTACAAGGGAGGCGCCGCAAGCCGAGCAACGATCAGTGAATCAGCGACAACCGACGAGATCAAAACAGCTGATTCTTGACAACGAGTCGGCCCCAGTTCCCTGTATTATACGGGGCCGGCAGGCGCACGCCGAATAGAAAGAGTTCCATGTCCCGAACCCCAGGTTTAACTCTCGGCATGTGTACAAGGTGTCAGTGGGTGACAAGCCCGCTTTGGCGGTGGCCCAGGGACGGAAATATAAGATGCCGGATGACACCAGGATGAGGATGTAACGTGAACCCAGCCAGGGTCTGATGCTGATTGGTGATTGGCGAATTGACTTGTCAACTCATCTAACCCCCCACGAGAGTAGGACTGTAAATTGAGGCCTGGAACAAGCATGGCTTGGTGGTCAAGTGCAGCTGCAACGCGAGAGGAAGTTGAGGCAACACGGCTCGGCTCGACGAAGAGGTCTCACGCGCGGCTATTATGTATGCCCGAATATTACTAATGATGACGCAGACAGAGCAATACGGCTTTCAATTATTTCTCCTCCCCAGCCACAAGACACACGAGCAATAGCAAGCGTCATCACACACCGAAAATACCCAAGAATCAGTATTTGCCCTTGGACGATGCACGATCGGCATGCACATTACCCCATGCACCGTGTCAATAATCAAGTCACCCAGTCGTAGTGCTACCCGACTTCCCCGCACAAGCACCATGTCTCAGTCTTATTTCCCAGAATTGGCGTCGGGGAGTTTGAGTTTTTAATAAACAAACGGACGAGTCAATGGCAACTTTTAATGTTGTTCTCCGATACAACTTATTCTCTTATTCTTCCTTCTACCCACAACAGCAGAACAGTTGACGATTGCCATTGCAACGCGTTCGAAAAAAAAGAAAAAAAAGAAGAGAGGGAGAGACAAATCAATAAAAATAATATAAAAATTACAAATGAGAATCCCCTCGCTCAGGCACACGGGCGTGGCTGCCCTAGTCGCCATCCTTCCCGCCACCCACGCATCATGGCAGGATTATGAGGCGCAAGCCCGCACGCCAGCCTCGTGCCCCGACTATACCGACTACTCGCAGAAGCCGCATGCGCCGTATTCCCAGGGGCCGTTGAAGCTGCCGTTTATGCGGCCCAATGAGGAGTGTCGGACGTTTATGAGTCCTGCTGTTGAGGTGAGTGGGAGTCCCGGTCTACACGCGTTCTAGGGGAGAACGTCTTTGACGCCTTGTGTAGAAAGTCATCCGTGACATGAAGGCGCGGATACGAGATGCCGACTTGGCCAGATTGTTTGAGAACACGTTCCCTTCGACCTTGGATACCACGGTCAAGTATTTCGACCCCAAGGTGAATTTGGCATTCATCGTTACCGGCGTACGTACATATTGTAAAGTATGGCCACTACTCTTCACAGCCAAGCTAATGTGCCGTTAGGATATTACGTTGGTTTGCACTTCAATCTCGTCATACCGCCTGCCGCCATGGACTAAATGCTAATCTCGGAATGTGCAATGCTTGGTATAGGGCCCAATGGCTTCGCGACACGGGTAACCAGTTTGCCCATCTGTACAAGCTTTTGCCGCAGGATGACAATCTCAAGGCGCTTGTCAAGGCCATCATCAATACCGAGGCGCGATACATTTATCAGTATCCTTATTGCGGTATGGACTACCATTATCAAGGAATGCAATTACATGCGAAAACTGGCTGGCTGACTAGACGCAGGCTCGTTCCAACCACCACCCGAGTCGGGGCTGAAGCCTACGGTGAATGACTACGCTGCTAAAGTCAATGTCAGCCCGTATGTAGCATGTCTCTTTGCTATCAGTAAGTCTTATGATGCTGACCTGGATTATAGTCCCGTGAACAACCAGACCGTCTTCGAGTGCAAGGTATGTCTACCTCAACGAGCTCTCAACACAACCACCTAACCTCCAGTAGTATGAGCTGGACTCTCTGGCCGCATTTCTCAAAATCTCCCGGTCATTTTACCAAAACACAAACGACACCTCCTTTATCAATGACAACTGTACGTCACTAGAAGGGTCACATACACGCCCGGTCACGGCACGCGCTGACAACGTTCTACAGGGGAGAAGGCCATGAGCACGATCCTGCAGACCATCAACGAACAATCCCAGAGTTCCTGGTCCGACGACTGGGAATTCATCAGCTACTACAACTGGACAGGCACGGCCGGCTCCCTGTCGCCGCCGGTGCCTAACAACGGCAACGGCGAGCCCAAGCTTGCCAATGGCCTTGTTGCCTGCAGCCACCGCCCATCCGATGACTTGTGCGTCTTCAGTACGTAGGATCCCAAGACACCTTCCCCCAGTACGGCAGGACATCGGCGCTTCCCAGGACTAATACCTCTCCAGACTTCATCACCTCCGACAACGCCATGCTATCCGTAGAGCTCAACCACATAGCCGACATGCTCGAGGCCTCCCGCAAACTAAACCAAGTCTCCCGCCAGGCGCGCCAGTACGCACGCACCATCCGCAACGCAGTCCTCCACCACACAAAGACGCCCAGCGGCATATTCGCCTACGAGACAAACGGCTACGGCGGCCAATACATCATGGACGACGCCAACGTCCCGAGTCTCGTGTCCCTGCCGTATCTAGGATTCCTGCCCAGGAGCGACAGCACCTACAGGAAGACAAAGGACGCCATGTTCTCGCGCTCCAATCCGTATTATGCCGTTGGCAAGAAATTCCAGGGCATCGGGTAAGTGAACCTGCATGTAAGACGGTACCAGCAAATCCTTGGATATCGCTAATGCCCTTATTTCCCCCCCGCAAAGTGGCCCTCACGTCAATGCTACCTATCCCTGGCCCATGTCCCAAGTGTCGGGGATTTATGGAACCGACGATGACGAAGAGATCAAGGAGCGTCTTGCGCTCATTCTAGAAAACACGTCTGGGTTGGGCCTTATACACGAGAGTGTGCATATTTACAACACCAGTGACTTTACGCGTCCGTGGTTTGCGTGGGCGAATAGCTACTTTGCTGAGATGTTGTTGGATTTGGCCGAGAGGAAGCCGGGGCTTATTTTCAAGGACGACACGCCTTATATCATTGGCGGCGGTGAGAAATGACTATACGGACAAAGAGGTACTACACAGCAGAAAGCCATGGGACCGAGTCGCGAGCTATTGTGAGTTTTGAAGTTTCATGCGCTGCTTTATCAGACCTTGGCTTGATATGGGGCCTGATGGGAGATGAGAGATGAAATTCTATTCGAGGCCGCTATTCAGTATCTCTACATGACGTGATTATGAACATATATACAATATATCTATATACATGTATGTTCTTAAGCAGTGCAAAGGCCGTCGTGCACTGATGGCGGGTTTGACGAGGCGTCCCCCCAGTTGAAGCTCCCTAGAAGTCTTCCAATATCGGTTGATCGATCCGCTCGGATGTAGTCGTCTGTGTTCTGATGTTCAGAGAAAGGACTTGGAAGAGAAGATGCGCCAGGATTCCTTACCTCGTTTGGGAAAGTACCACCAGTCGTTGGACCGGAAAGCGTCGTCCGTGAGCTGGGACAAAGGATTGCTCCAACCCTGAAAATATTGTAAGTTCATTATACACCTCCCAGCTCCCAATTGAAGGCGATTATTCTTACCGTATTTCGTGTGTCGCGATGAGCGTGCTTGCTCCACTCAACGTAGACCTTGGGATGATCGAGGTACCGTCTTCTGTCGTCACCGCCGCGAGGTTTGGTTGCGTCTTTAGTGTTTATCGTATTGTGTATCTTCGCCCACTGCAAACGACCGTAGCCGCTGTGTTGAGAGAGGAACAACTGGTCCGGCCGCCACTTCCCATCAGTGGCCTTTGTGAAGACAACTATAACGCGTTCCCAGTCGCTGTGACACTCATCAGCACATTTAACCCAACGTACAAAGTGCGCCCTCCGAGGGGATCTAGTCAAGCGCCTTACTAGGGGTGTCCGAAGACCTTGTCCGGGTTGTTGCCATCCTTTGTGTAGAACAAGTTGTAGACGACTCTCACCGAGGTATCAGAGCATTTTTTGTAACTGTAATAGATGGGAAATGAAGGACTGGGGTTGCCGATGCCAACACCTGGGTTTCGACAGTCACATCCAACATCTGGCCAGTCGCAGAGCTTCGAAGATGGGACTTGGTTTCCATCCGGAGAGGTTGCAAACGTGGGGATACAAGGGGGGTGGTTCATTGCCTGTCCAAAGAAGAACATTGGCTGAGCCCTCATGGCAAGACTGACTCCTCCCTCGTTCAGCATCTGGTTCATGTCCGAATCAGAGATGGGCGTCACGGCCGAAGCCGTGGCCGCCAGACACCCGGCAGCCAAAACTTGCTTGAGAGAGGTGCGCATCCTGAAATTAACAACACACTGGTCGGGAGCCTAATATGCCTGCCACTATTTCCCCCCTTGGGGGACCACGGCGCTTTAATACTCCAAGTTGGTTGCCATATGCGCTTCGGCGCGTTCTTGTGTTTTAGGGTTCTCGGCCAGCGCTGGTAAACCACCAACCACTGCGCGAAGTCGAAACTACACTATCGCCTCGGCTCATCCTTGCTTGACTCGGTAGGTGACATTGTGCCTCGCGCTAGAACATGGTGCTTACGGCAACTGTCGTTGATTCTCCGGAATTCCAGCAACGAAGACCGTTTTGTGGAGTTTACGTGTAGGTGTGATTGGGACGGGGAGACCGAATGATGATTTTGTGCTTCGGGCGACGGTAGATAGACAACACAATTTGTGGGAAATTTAGCTGAATGGCGGGTGGATATCCGCCGCATCGTGTTGATGCTGGATCAGTAATTATCGCCACCGGCAGTCCGTCTCTGGCGAATTTAGACGCACGGCTGTGTCCGACAGCTGCATTCTCCATTCTCATTATGTAGGAAGTATTGAATACAATATGCCCGAACCGTTGCTTCATTCGGACTCGGTGAGGATTAATGACGTCTGATGCTTTGTGGGTTTGACTTTGCGGTTAGATATGAAGCCTGCAGGGAACAAGTGGATTGTTGTATCAGCCCTCAGGGCCATGCTTCAGAAACGAAGTTATTCAACCTCAAGTGCTGTGATACATAAAGAGGGATAACGACCTGCACTACCAAAGTTTCCTCCACTTTTGGTCGTGCGGCATAAGTCACGACGTAACCAGTGACGTCAAGATTGAATTAGCAAGCGCAACCGCCGGCACCTGCCATCATTTTACCGGCCAGGCGTTTTGTAAACTGCCTGTGGCCGAGAACGTACTAGGTTTAGTGCCACTTGCCTCGCTGCACATCCTCTTGAGTCTTGGTCAGGTTGGGCTCATAAGTTTGCTTCACCCAAAAATAAACCTCAAAAATCCATCATTTATTTCCATTACCCGGCTTGATCTTCAACATTTTATCAACGCGACTGGTCATATGGGAGCGCCGTCTAACTTGTCTTTTTCCCGTTGTCATGATTCATGAACAATGCTTGACCGCCTATGATGCTACACTGTCACCGCTTGCTCTGCCCTCGAGGCGGTGTGACGGGTGTCTGCGGTCGTAGTATTCAATGTTCCCCTTGCCCGAGGAGCGCTGTTGATGGTCATTCATCGGGAGTCGAGACTACAGACAGCGGACGGGAAACGGCTGTCCAGGCCCAGAGCCTTGTCTCCCAGTTCAAGATGCTTCGCTCTGGACAATGCCCAACGGTTCGACCGTGGCTGGCTGACGACCGAATTCAATAAAGGGACAGCGCTATGGGTAGGATAGAGAAACAACAACCTGCACTACCAGAGGTTCCTCCACCTTTTGTCGTGCGACACAAAGTGATGTGGCCCGCATGAGCATAATAGCTCAAATGTGGTGACCAGTTGGGCCCTCAAGTAAATACTGTACGAGATGCGTGCCATTTTCCCAGAGAGATGGCGAATTTGCGTACCGACCTCAAGCGGACACATCGTTTGTGCCGCGTCGTCCAACAGGCCCAGTACTAAGTAGGGCCTCAATATACCACGACGATGCCGATATGCCACTTCAGAATCACAACAGTCAGCCACCGCTCTTACATGGCGTGTAACGTGTCAAGATCCCAAGCATCACAAGCTGCACTGCTAAAGGTGAAGAAACCTCTTCCGGTGGCGTAGGTTGTTCTCTCTGCCCATCACACCAACGAATCACGTTCTACGTGTCCGCAGATACGGTGAGTTGTGCTACCAAAAATCGCTGGCCATGCTACAACTGCCTGCTTTGTTATACCAGACCAATTTTAGTTTTACGCGTCTCAAGTTCCTAATACTAAGATGAGATATATTACGGAATTTTGTTCAGATACAATTTGTAAGGAATAAGACAAATAAAAAGATTTTTAAAAGATGTTGTTTTATTTCAAGAACAGTATTTCATTTATATATGTTTGTACTTTGTTTGAATTTAAAGACAAGTATAACTAATAAATAAATGCAGGAGTAGACTGTTCTTGCTACATGGGGACGCGGTAACACCAACGGCCATCTTTCGTTGCACAAATAGCACAACCCGCAAGTACATTGCAATATCATATATTTTTAGACACAGCCCGTGTCACATCACCAAACTCGTGCTGAAGACAAGTCACAGAACAGGCTAGATCTGCACGTATGAGCTGTTGAGGGCCAGTTCATATGTACGACAGCAGAGAATGTCAAGTCTTTCTTGATAAGGCCACTTACGAAACTTCCATGTGACCCTGTTCAAGCTAACAGAGATTTAAAAACCAGAATCCGCCGGCCACATTTAGGACCTGAATTCTCATTCATGCCATCACTAGTCAAGGACTGAAAGAACACCAAGCGCTATTGTTGTTTCGACCAATAGAAGCCATCATGAGAATTTTTGTCTTCCAGTCATCGTACGAGGGCTCCGACTCTGTGCTTGAAGACTTCGATATTCAATCCCAGCCTGGCCTCTTTACCTCACAGCACGAATTCGAATACCGCTTCATACACAAGGACAAATCACAGCAAGAGATCGATGCGGCTGTTGCTGAAGGCTTCGACTTCTACATCAACTTTCTCTGGGGCACCCTTGATGATCCTGTCGCAGGCGTGTTAGCCAGCCGCTACTTCGAGTCTCTGGGCTTGCCATCCTGCGGTGTCCGCAGTTGGGAACGGTCCAAGACGAAGAATGACTTTTATAAAGCCGCAAGACTCCGCGGAGCACCGCCCGTTCCCGGCGTTGATCATTTCCGCTGTTCGTGAAGCCGGCCAATGGCTGTGCCAGCCAGCTGATTGACGAACATTCCGTCTGCCACAATGAAGAGGAGCTAGACTTGGCCCTTCGCCGCATCAACAAATCATTGCACGAGGCACGCATTAGGCGTACACACGCTTTGGGTATAAAAGACCCGGACGAATATGCGAGCTCCTACAACCTACTAGTCGGGACAACGGCGACATTGTTATACAGGAATACATAGAAGGCAGGGACTACACTTGCTCTGTTGTGGAAATGGGCCAGAACTGCATTGCCCTCACGCCATTCGTGTACATTACGAAGCAAACCACAAACAGGGAGAAGTTCCTTACCTTTGACTTGAAGTTCGACAAAGAGACTCGTATCGAGCTTGTGCAAAAGCGGCACAATCCCACCCTGTTCGAACGTCTTCAGCAAGTGGCCACAGAAGCATTCACCGTCAGCAGCTGCATAGGCAGCAACATGGGATGCGACGTTGATCTCCGCGCCACGCCGGCTGGAGAAGTCTTCGCCATCGAGGTGAATCCTCAGCCAGCTGCTTTCATGCCAGAAGGAAAGTTCCACGATCTGCCGATAATACACAGCCTACCAGGCGGTCATCCTGCAGTCATCAACATCTTCATTGCCAACCACATGCTTGGCCAGCCGGACCAGTGGTCCCATCAACCAAAGATAGCGTCCGGCTATGACGGCTTGGCACCCAAGTATGACACAATTCTTAGCCAGATGACCTCCTTGCCTGCATCCTTCAAGCGACTGGCTGATCGGTTTGAATTCTCTGGAACAGTGCTCGACCTCGCATGTGGAACTGGGATGTTTGGCCGAGTGCTAGCCGAGAGCAAGGAACCTTGTTCTCTCGCAGCTTTCAAGAAGAACCATCGTCTTCTAGGGTGCGACATCTCCCCTGGGATGCTGGAGATTTGCCGGTCATCCGGGGTATACGATGCCCTTTATACGGAATCAATGGAGACAACTCTGCTCAAAATCAGTAGCTCGGATGCCAAGAGTGTTGATCACATCACTTGTTTCTCGTCGATCCATTTTCTGCGCCCCGAGATGTTTTCCTTTGTCATGGTGCTGTGCTTCGCCCTCGCTAACAAATCCGTCACGATCAGTGTAGACGACATCCCGGATGTCTATAATGAGACTCTCAAGAAATGGGCAAAGACTTCATGCATTCGTCTAATCGTCTTGCGAGCATGGAGTCGTTTGGGGAGCCTAAGGGCTGGCATTTGGAGTGCAGAGACAGAGAATATGCCTGGACGTCGCCTGCCACGGAGGATCGCATTTACACTACCCATTTTAGGTTTGAAAGGGCAGATGGTGATGCAAGAGACGTTATGATCCGGGGGGTTGAACTTGCTGATTGAGGTGTTTCGGGCGAAAATCCACATAGTAACATTGAAAGAAGAATTGACTTTTCTGTTGGAGCTAGGCGAGCAGTTACATCACGTGTGAATAGAACAGCGCAGGCTGTTGGTCGCTTTCAAGACGACGGGGTGATATGTCAACATTTTGTTTTCCTCATATCAAGAATGACTTTTTTTTTTTAACAATTGGCACCTGGAAAGCGAGTTTTCGTGAACAACCCAATAGAATCAGCAGCGAATATGTATCAGTCTGTAAAAAGTGCGGATATCTAGGGGTTTGTCTTGATCTGCCGCTTGATCTCCTGCGCAATCTGTGTCCTATTCCACTTCTCCTGTTGACGATTCGCCGTTGCCGCCACAGCTCTCTGCTGCGAAAGAGGAAAATGCCCAACGCCTGTCGGTCTCCCGCACATATTGTAGCCGGCTGCTTGTTGAACAACATGTCTCGCTTCCCCAGACAGCTTTATTAAAGAATTAAGGTAGGAAACAAGAGAAACTGACAATATGTACTGAGCGGAGAGACGAAGAGGAGTGTGACTCTTAAGAAACATGAATAACCATGTACTATAAACAATAAAGAACGAGCAGATGGCTCCCTTGCTCAGATTTGCCGTCTACCTTGCTATTCGAGTTCTGAGCTGACATCAGGAGTGACTGAAAATATGGCACGGCGACTGGGAACACGATTAGCATGAGAGAAATTAAGTCTACTAGGGACCCTCTTGTGTAAGCGCTTTTGACATTCCCGGGTACATGTATACAGATTGAGGAGCATTACAATGCGGAGTGTGATGGCACCGCGAAACCGACTAATCACTCGATAGCTAAGCAATAGAGCTCTGCGGATAGCAACATTCCGTTCAACCCGTGCGCTATTGACAACTTGCCGCAGGCTCTACCGTTGTTGAAAGACTTGGAAAAGCTGCCAGCCAATCCTCCACGTAAAGTACAAGATATTATGGACGCTGCGAAGCACTTTTGGTGGTACTGGAGAGCACGATACGTTGCGGCGGCTGATGGTTAGCATTGGCACGGTCCGAGGAGGCACCTCGCCAAACCTTGTTCCAGATGAAGCTTATGCTGCTGCTGATAATCGGCTGCCTATGGGGATATCAGCAAACGGCCTTCTCAAACATCTCCACAGCGCATTTGGTCCTCTGGAGGGGGGTCCACTTGAGGTAACAAGGCAATACGAGCCCTCGTGGACTTCAACTCCAGAGGACGTCGTGAAATATGCGTTGTATGCCGCCAGATCTGTCGTCGACCCCAGCGCAATGCCGTATCGAGTTGGCGCATCCGATTCGAGGCTGTTCCGGCAACATGGCATACCAACCATTGTCGCAGGGCTGACACTTTACAACATGGGCGGGCCGGATGAGTATTTCCACAGAGGAGCTTGGCCAGGTTGTGGAAATCCATGCACTTGCCGCATGGAAGTTTCTGTAGCCCATGATGTTGGACGACTCTGGCGGCTCCCTAAAGAGCTGGGGTAGGTAATGAGTGTCTGGTTTTTTTTGCAAACCATGATACAAGAAACAGCTTCGCGCTAATATAGATGCATTGCACGTCATGGTACCACAGCTGAGTTCATGGGATCATGACCAATCTGCAGCCCTGGTGGTTCCGAATCTGGAAGTATCCTGATTTTAGCAGGGAGCCACTTGGCTACAAATTACAAGATGCAGCAACATGGCGTCCGTCTGGTGTGCAGCCATATTAGCTTTTGAATTAGCATACCACTCGGCTACAGCTAAGAAGCCAAAAAAAAAAGTGTGGCCCTCGTGATGTGAATTGCTCGGGGTGCGTTTAAATTTTGCTCGGGGTGCGTTTTGCCCCACCACCAACCAAATTTAGCTAGCCGGCCCGCTGCTATACCCCACAGTACATTTACAGTATAAATGCATGGTCGTGATAGCTCTCAATTAAATGCTAAAGTAATTGACTAAATACACGAATTTCTTAATAACGCCGCGCTAAGCGAGCTTTAAATCGCTTAAAAACGCGATTTCTAGTGTTTTTAATAAATGTGTATATATTTCTAAGCCGTTAATTTTTCTGAGCTCTCTTTAGGCGCTACCTAGGCTTTTAAGGGGTTATCTATTAAAGCTACGAGGCTAGCTGCGATGATAGCTGCGTTTAAGAAATAATTTCCTTAATCTTAGAAGGGCCTTATCCTTTAATTAGTTCTTCTTACCTATTATTTCTATTATTATTTAATTATTATAATAACTAGGCTACCTATCTCACATAGCGTTAATTCCTAGTAATAATATTAATTTCCGCCTATATATAGTCTCTTTAAATACTTAAAGCGAGCGGCCTTTAATTTTATTAGCTTAATTAAGGTCTTTTAATTAGCTATTAACTATTATTTTAGCTTAAAGATTAGTATTAAGTATCTTTACCGTTTATTATAGCTTACTACTAGTAAGTTAAAATAAAGGTAGAATTATAAATGTAAAGATATTAACGTTATAAATCCTAAAGGTTAAAGTTAGCTATAATTTCTATTATAATAAGTAAAGAATTATATTAGAGATATATTAAAGGCTTTTATAGCTATTAATAGCGCTTAATTTCATGCTTTTTTAATAGCTTCTTTATAGTTTTCTTCCTTAAAATATAATAAGTATAAGGTAAATTAAATTACTTAATAAAATAGCCTATATAATATTTAAGGGCTTACTTTCTAGATTTATAAGCTCAAATAAGCTTATATTACTTAATTAAAAGGTTAATAGCTTTATAGGAAATTTATACGAGTAGCTTATTAAGTTATTTCTTATAATTAATTAAATACTATTACTTAACTTTATTTTCAGCTATATAAGCGCGATAATTACGCTCTTAGGTCTTAAGTATTTTATTAATTATATTTATAAGCGATAAAAAATCACTAGTTCTTATATATTATTATTATTAATAGCTTTAACCTACTTCTTTAAGAAGTTAGCCTTAACATTCTAATAAATATACTACGTATAAAGCTACTATTATATTTTTAGTTAAATAACCTTAAGAGCGTTTTTTAATGCTTTTTTAAAGTCTATTATAATAACCTTAATGGTATTAAAGGTAAGGATTTAAAGCTCGCAATAAATTTTATTTAACGAGGCTAGTATTTAATAATAACTCTCTTTCTTTTCGCTTTAATTAAATTTAAAGGTAATATTTATAATTGATTTTTAATTAGTAATAACTAGATTTATTATAATTATAATAGCCTTACTCCTTATAATGCTATACCTAATAATTGAATTAATTAATAGATATTATCTTAAGCTAGTAAATGCAATTGGTTTTTCGTAAGCGAGTCTATTAAATTCTAGCTCCCTAAGGCGGCCTTTACTACCTATTGCGATTATAATTAAGCTAGCTCTAATAAGGCTATTAAATACCATTAATAATATCTAAATTCATAGACCTTTTTTTAAATTTAACTTTATTTTAATAATTAAATAGTTATATAGCGTTAAAAAGGTTATAAAGCTATTATAACCTAATAATAGCAGTAAATTTAAGGGCGAATTTTCCGAATTTTCGGCTATTATAATGTTAATTATAGTGTTAAAGAAGGAAAAACGCTACTACTATTAAAAAAATCGTACGGCTATAGCCTTATTAAAAAATCCGTTAATTTTCATTAGAGCTTTTTAGTGTTAAGTAAAGCTACCATGCGTCTATACTAAAAATGTACTATGGGGTGTGGCAGCGGGCCTCACCGTAAAAAAGTGGGTAAAGTGGGGTAAAACGCACCCCGAGCAAAATTTAAACGCACCCCGAGCAATTCACCTCGTGATGTATCCAGTGAAGCCGGCGCCAAACCCCGAGGACCGGATTGAGATGCCAAACGGCGGACGTTGCCCCACCTGTCAAGGCCATGTGCGCACTGTGGAATCATCTTGCGTGGCCAATTTCCAAGACCTAGTCGCCGATTACAAAGCCCCACCTCATCAAAGCACGCCAGAAGCTTCCCTCCTTCAACCGTCCATGTCGTCATACTTCAGCAAGCAGCAACCCCGTCTGGGATCCTGACAACTCTACATCAAACATAAAGGACAGCTTCAAGCTTCGCACGCATATACGTACGAGTCACAATCGCATACATCCACCAGCCGCTTTGACCAACCTACATACTCGAACAAAACTACGCACAACTTGAAAAATGGCTCACGCAGCCCAGCACATCACCTCGCCCGAGGAGCTGGAGGCCCTCCTCTCGTCAACCACCTACGTCGTGGTCGACTTCTTCGCCGATTGGTGCCCGCCCTGCAGGAGCATCGCCCCCATCTTCGAGTCCCTGGCCGCCAAGCACAGCAAGCCGGGCTACCTGGCGTTTGCCAAGGTCAACGTCGACCATGTCCAGGCCGTGGCCGAGAAGTACCGCATCTCGGCCATGCCCACGTTTCTGTTCTTCAAGGAGGGGAACCAGGTTGCCGTCAATGGCCAGCCCATGATTCGGGGCGCTGACCCCACGTCTCTGAGGGCCGCCGCGGAAAAGTTGGCTGGTTTGGCGGCCCAGAGGGCCCAGGAGGCCGGAAACCCATAATGTGGCCCTTTTTGGAGGGAGGTTTGGGTCACGGCCGTTGCGTATAGGGATTTTGGTAGCTCGCTGGCGGCCTCACTGTGAGGCGGGCGCGCTTGGTTGATGCAGTTGTCTGCGATTGCCATGAAGAATGCGAAACAAGTGATGTTTCTCAAGTTGCTGCGTTATTTATTTTGCAGGTGAATAAAAAGAGCCTGAATGTCAATGCTGCCTGCCGTGTCTATTTCTATCGTAAATCATGTCTAATGCGCGCTACCATCTAAAACTCTCTTCAAAATACTCTATTTGGCAGGGGAAAATGTCTAAAGCTTCTATTACAGCCCTTCTGGCGTCATCGGCCATCTTGGCCGGACCGCATGCAACCACGGCAAGAGTCCGTTGGCCTGCATCTTCCGCGGCCGCGAGAATAATCGCCGCGGCATTCGGTCGTCTGTAATGCCGTGACACTTTGGGCGGTATGTTTGCGCCAATGCTTCTCTCCGTGTCGGCAGAAAAGTACAAGTCGATGGCGAAGCTCGAATCGCCAAGGGCGTCTACCATGTCATTCGACAGAACCTCCGCTGCGAACTCTGGTTCTCGTATCGCCCAGTGGATGTGTGTGGAAGTTGTTTGCTTGCTGCGGCCCGTCAAGACCTTGAGATAGGACATGGGCACGACAACGCCGCTGCCTCCTACGACGAACACGACGTGGTCGGACAGGTGTAGCGGCTGGCTGTGTCCGTACGGTCCATCCACCAGCACCCGCATTGACGCTGGCTGCGGGGAGTCATCCGAGGCTAAATCTCTCAGCCGAGCTGTAAAGCTGTCGTATGGTCTGATGAGGAACGTGAGAAGCTTCGAGTTTGGCTTGGTCATCTCCTGCTCCTCTGTATCGACGACACCTGACTCGAGGAGGGGGGCTTGCTCTCCAAAGGGCTTTCCTGGCAGATGTGAGTCTGAAACAGATGCCACGGTAAACGGGTGGCTCTCCCAAAATCGCTTGTCGTCGATGACGGAGAGATAATAATACGTCCCTGGGCGAGCTTTGTATGCTCTGAAATGACACGGAACGATGAGCCGCACAATGTTTGTGGACGGATTGTACGTCGCGGTGGCGACGGTCGGCTTCATCGTCGGGTTAAAGAAGATTATGCGGAGGATGCGTAGGACTCTGTCGAATACCCATATGAATACGGGAACCCAGAAGAAGGCGTCGTAATGGCCGTTGAAGATGGAAACATGGCTGACAAGGTTAGCATTGCCCTTTCGGCTAAACAGCTGCACCACTCACCCGAGCATGGTGACCAGGATAAATATCGACATGCCAATGTGTAATATGAGGAACAGCTCGTACTTTTGGCGTCGTAGCCAGTAGATGGAGCAAGCCATCAAGGCGCACATGAGCACCGTGGCCTGTCAATGTCAGCAAGGCTCAGTAACGTGTGAAAACAGCAAGACTCACGACTTCACCCGCTAGCCAGAACATTCGCGTCCACCACCAAGCAAAATATGTCCATCCTCCTTCTGAAACGGAGTCAATAGGAGAGACCCAATATGCACCCGGTCAACTCTGACGTACCTTTTAGAATCAGGACCGTATACCCCACCGAATGGACAACAGCCTGAAGAGTGGCAATTCTTGCCACCCAGCGGTGAAAGTTGTTATATGTGCCAAAGTCCCATCCCGTAAGCCAAATGGCAAAGTTGTTACGCATGCCAAAGAGCCAAATGATGGGGAAGTTGGCAAACGAAATAATCCCCGTCCTGTCGGAAACGTACCGTAGCCACTGCCGCGTTGGTGTAGAGAAGCTACCGAGGTCAGTCGTGGCCGGATTGAATCGAAATCAACACAAAAACCGGGGGTCACATACTAAAGATTGACGGGTGTGATTTTGTACCCGTATATGCTAAATGCAAGATTCATCATGGCAAACGCAGCAATTGTGAGACTCTGTATCCGAGGCGGAATCGTGCCGCACCATACTTCTGTGGCGCATCTGTATCCAAAGGTTGCGGGTATCAGAATCCTTTGCTTCACCCATGTTGCCGTCTCGGAGCGGTGGCTGCGGTACAGTCGGTACGTTTTCAAGAAGCGGATGCATCCGAGCATGATTCTGTTGCCAGCGCCCACGGCCAGCACAGCCAGCCAAAACAAAATCATGGAAAAGCCGTACAAGAAATGGTGATGGGTGACGTATCTGTACGCGTCCTTTTTTCAACGTTAGCACAAGGTTCGCTGGCGAATGTACAGCGTATAAGTAGACAAGCCTTCTTACCAATGTATCAAACCACGCTTTGTAAAGTTCAAAAGCAGGCACAACAACCTCCTTGACCGTGTCGTTGGGCGCAAACGCCTCACCGAGTCTGATATGCCGCAACCTCTCAATGTCGCCCGCCGTGTAATTCGAAATGATGGAAATGGGAGGAAGCGCATCCATGTCTGACCCGACACACGTCTCGTTCAGGGTCGCAACCTCGGCGGCCCTTGCTCCCGGCTCGCAGAACATATCCAGGCACAGATACATGGACGTGACGGCCTTTCGGCTTCGGCACATCTCAACCCTCGACTTGGCGGGCAAAACCTCCGCATCGCTGAACCGCACTTGCGCCAGGGCGTTCTGGCACGACTGAAGACATAAATCGGCGGATCGTCCGGGCGGCTGTGCTGCTGCAAGCCGGCCTACGAGGCACCAGCAGAGTGCTGATGCCAGACGCGCGGTTGGGGTCATCTCATCTGCGCTGCAGAGGGAATGTCGTTTCACAAACTGAGTTGGATGCATTGCGCCCTTTTTTAGCCTCTGCCCATTTAGCTTGGCGAAGAATCATCTGATAAGATTGATAAGCGCCCCACCTCGTGGCCCCCTTGTGATGACGGAGACTAAGGCGTTTTTGTACATGCGTTTTGAGTCTAAAAAAGGAACAAAGAAAGAGCCTTTATTGTAGCTGTTTTTTTTTTTTTTTTAAAAAAATTGAATAATAAAAAAGAGAAGAATAAGAAAAAAAAAAAAAAAACTACGACTGTATTCTAGAAGCCGTCTACCAGCTAAATGTTTCATCCATCAACACTAACCCTCTTCTCACTGCTGAACTGCGGCCCAGAGTGCAGATTGTATTCCGCACATCATCAGCCATACCCGCCGGGCCGCAGACCACGACTCCAATGGGCCCCCGGTCTTCGGATCCACATGGCGCCGTCAGCTCTTCTCGAACAATGGAGCAGACGTCCATCCGCGACCCAACGTGCGTCTCGACATCAACCATGGCTGAAAGGCTGCTTATTTCGTCCTTGAACACGGACCTGAGGCTGTCGTTGCGGATGCCCCAGCACAGGCGGGCTGGTCGATTTCCGTGTCGGCCAAGAATCGGCAAGACGGCACTGAGACCGACGCCGCCGACGATACATACGATCCGCGTGCATCGACGCAGCTGGCGCCCGGCCGAGGAATGGTACGAGCCTTCGAGGAAAACCGGGATTCGGACCGGGCCCCTGGCGGCTGAGACTCTGGCGGCGAGGCGCGCCGTCATGCTTGACCGGACTCTGACGGCGATGGTGACCTTGGTCTTGCCCGACTGCCGTGTGGCGACTGTAGACGCCGCTGTTGTTGATGGGGAGTCGACCTCGGCCTCGGCCTCTGCGCTGCGAGTCGTTGCTCCGGCCGTCTTTTCCACGTCTGCCAGCTTCTCCAAGCTGCCGTCCGAGTCTGCCATGTCTGCTGCCGAGAATGACGACGCGATCGAGAACGGGTGGTTCTCCCAGAACCGCCACGAGAGCGTCGGAAAGTAGAGGTACGCCACGCCCTCGGCAAAGGTATTCTCGATGTCGATGCGGACATACTCCCCGTCGGATCCCTCGACCGGAGACACGACCGCCGTCTTGAGGCCGGCCAAGCACACGCGCAGCAGCCTGGCCAAGCGCTCGAGGATCCAGACCGCAATCGCGACGAATACCCAAATCTCATAGCCCCAGTTGTGCCTGTACCGCTCCCAGATGTGGTAGTAGTACCCGACGACGAAAAACACCACCAGCACCTGGTGCGTACACAGGAACAGCTCATAGGCCTTTTGTCGCACGACCAGGAGCGAGCTGGGCCAGAGCGCGACGCCGCAGACCGTCGCGACCACGCCCCATGTCCAGTACAGCTTGGCCGCCTCGTCCTCGTATATCCCCTCCGCGACGTAGTACCCGAACAGCATGAGCGAGTGGATGACGGCGAGCAGGATGGTCCAGTACCCGAGCCACCTGTGCAGCAGGACAAAGGTGTCGTACGGCCAGTCCGTCAGCCACAAGAGGATGTTGTTCCTGGCCGAAAAGACGAAAAGCGCCACCATGTTGCCCATTGCCAACACGCCGGCCCTGTTGCCGATTGTGCTGATCTCCATGGTCTCTACCGACGGGAACGAGGTCTGCGGGAAGAGCGCCGTGTAGGGGGCCACCAGGAAGACCGTGTTGAGCACAGAGATGAGCAGGATGTAGAGCGTCTGTCCTCTGGTGGGCATCAGGCCGCCTCCCGTGTATCGAGACACGGGCCGGCGGTGAGATTTCCCCCACGCCGGCGGCTCGACGAGTATGCAGTTGATCCATTGCCATGTGCGGCTGCGGTTGAGTCCCGGGACGAGGCGGACCAGAGAGAGAACGACTGGCGCAAAGAGTGCTACCAACAGAAGAACAAGACTGTCCGTTTTTTATTTGTCTTGTTAGAGGAAATCCACAACATGGTCAGAATCGCCCGTCGTACTTACGTGTATTTCGCATGTCCGGCTTCGTTGATCTCGAACCCCTTTGCGCCGTTGTAGCTTTTGGTCCAGTCCTTCCTGGCCACCACGCTGGTGACATTGAGAGGGGCCCGAGGTTTGATGACGGGCAAGGGGCTGTCTACACGGTCCATTTCACCGTGGTCGTCTTCGGAGCCGTGACTCCCTCCATGTCGAGGCAGCAGCTGTCGCTTGTGGCCGTGGTGGTCATGCCCGCCAGCCAAAGTCTGATTGCGTCCAGCACCACTATTCTGCTCGTCAATCTTGGCAAGGCGAAGTGCCTCGCCGTAGGACATGGCCGGCTTCCACTCCCACTTTGCAACGGTCCCGGAAGTCAGATGGGACACCCAGTAGTCTTCGATCTTGGCAAGGGAAGGGCGGTCAGACTGGCTGCAGTACATGCTGATACACAGCGCCAGCGTGCGCATAAAGGCCTGGTCGGTTGTGAAGCACTCTGGCGGCGTCTCTGCGTCTTCCCCCTTTGGCGTACACAGCAGCGGGCAGGATGAAATGGTGGCACGGCAGGCAAAAGCGCACGGCGGGTTGTACATTGTCTTGCCTAGCCCTACCATTCCGGTTCCGTCGCCGGCGGCGAGCCTTGCCCACAGGACCAGCCCGCCGGCGATCCATTTAGACGCCATTTTCCCCCGAATCTCGAGTTGTTGGCTCCTCTTGTCTGTAGACAGAGCGACGCTGGTGTAGAATCTTGCCGGTAAGTCTTCCGGTCTCGCACGCAACGTTGACGGCGGCTCGTGAGGATTGTTGGCAACACCAGCTCGGCGGTATTTTTCCCGCGCGATCTAGACGGGCAGGAGTATTTATCTGAAGCTGAGCTGGTGTTGCTTACTGCCAAGACAACTTCTAGTCATGTTTGAGCCCTTCCATCCCCGACATGTTGCTCATTTGCGCTCAGAGTACCCGCAAAGTGACTGTGCCAAGTCAGACGTCTGGGTCTGCCTGTGGGTCGAAAGTCCTCAGGGCTGAAGGAAGAGGTTACGAAATATTTTTTTCAAGTTTGAGGTGGAACTAGGTGAGGAGAATCGATGTGGCGTTGGTCTTTGGTAGGGCATCATTGACGTGCTGCAACTACGTCGGCTTGGTTGGTGTAAGTCAAGTTCCAATCAGAGCCGCACTGCCATGGTGATTCAGGAAACCAAGGACAAGTACATGCGTATGATTCTTTGCGGAACAATCTTGGTCATGCAAAATGGTGGAGAGATGACCTCCCATCGTGACATATCCCGGTTGGCAGTTACTTGGCAAGGAAACAGCAAAATTCCACATGCCATGTTGAGAATTCGGGAGGCTTTGTATTACTCATTTGCATCTAACCCATCTTCACTCATTGGCAGCATCTTGCAAAAGTAATAAAAAATAAATTGGGGGACTAATGCGATGTTGATGTGAACCGAGTTGGCATTCACGCGCTTCAACGTACGAGATCAACAGTTAGCAATTAGACGTCTGTGAAGTTTCTTGAGCCGCAACCCAAACATACAAGTCCACTCTATTCAGAAATACACCATTGCTCTAGGTAACCGAATTGCACCCCCGCCAGCAATCTGTCATCAACAGCTTCTGCTCGCTTGAATACACAACCCTACACAAAAATTCCGGAAAGTGGTTTCAATGCCTCATCGAAAGAGCAGTTGGAGCATAAACTCAGATTGCAATAGGCGCGCCACCCCTCGACACGGGGCCATAGCGAAGGGGAGCAGGGGAATTGGCAGGGGGGCGCAAATCCTTTTCAACTTACTTGAGAGTTATACGGTTCTTGTGATTGGCTCGCGGGTGAGAGAATAAGAGCAGGTTCTGACAGCAAATCTCCACATACTCCAGCGCGTCCAGGAGAACCAAGGTTGACGGTGGAGAAGGACCTATAACAGGAATTTGCACATGAATTTGATCCCGGTGCAAGGGGAGGATTTGGAAAATGCATGGTGGAAATGGGCCGCGGAGCAGACTTCTTGCTCCATTGTATGACACGATGAATATGAAACATTCCCAAGGACCGCAATGCATTTACCTTATTCGCCGTTGTAAACGCACAGGGCATCGCAAAATGTATTAACAAGAAGCTCCTACTCCCCCAGTCGGATCATGGCAGTACTTGGAGGCTAAATGCACACAACCCCGATGCTTGATATGCCGCCCTGGGAAGTGTGAGCCGTCATTGTGCCAAAGAAGCCTACTATGTTTCTTTCTGTGCCGCATGGACTTGTAGTCGTGTCGTAAATGTCTGCTTTGTCTTTGCTCAGTGTGTTCTCCGCGTTGCTAGTATTCTCCTCGCTGCGAGTAGTCTGCGAGCAGATTGCCTGTCCCTTGCTGGTGAAAACCTAGGTTTCTACGCGTCAGCCAAGTAATGGAAATGAGTAAAGATGGACGGCTCACCTGGAGGCTACTTAGTATCTTGGTAGAAGGGTCAAGGATACTCTCGACTCTTGTAATCCGCTCTCCTCCTGCGCCATCAATGGCCAGCGAAACCACGGCCATCTTTTCTCCGAGTTCGAGTCCATAGCGTGGCCGGGTGAATTCCACTTGTTCCGTTTTCTCGCCATCCTTGTCGAAATAAAAAGCTACAGAACGCACATGCTTGTCTGCTCTGATGATAATCCTGTCGAGGTGCCCAAGCCGCTCCCCTCGAGAACCGCCAAAGATGCAATAATGATACGGCTGCTGCAGGGGGCGGTCAGCCTTGTTCAGTTGAACGTATGTCAAGCCCAGAGGTGGTAGGTCTGGATACCAAGTCTCCTTTTCGGGCACCATGGGCCGGTCTACTTGCTGCTCCTCACACTGGACCTCACGCCCGTCTTCCAGTGCAAAGCATTCATCACCGTACGAAATAGAGGGCCACGGATCAGAGGTGGAGCATATGGCGATGCCGACGAGTTTGAATCCCTATAGTCAGTTAGTCATAGCACATTCTGGTTTCTGGGGTGAACGAGTGGCAACTTGCATCGAAGCTGCACCTGATCTGCTTCACATGTCGCGGAACGGAGTTGCCGTCGTCAAGGGTCGCAATAAGCCTGCGCTTTGGAAGTCCTTTCTGCTCCCCTACCCATCCAAAAGGCTTCCCAGACTCTGTAAGGACGCGCAAGCCCCGGATGCCCAGGTTATCCAGAGCGATATCGAATCCTGTAATGTATTCTCCCGCCCGGCTCTGATGACTGCAAGGGGGTGTTGAGTAGCCCGTGGAATAAAAGTAACCCAGAGTCCTCTCCTGGTTATTGGCACCGTAGAGTCGAAGTCCAGATATGTAACGCTGATTGGCGACCGTTTTGAAAGAGAAAGCTACATGCCTTAGGTCGTCGGCAAGCTCGATGGTTTGATCAACTAGGCCCGTGATATTTGGCACCCTGCACAATGAGATTTTGTCATCATGGCTATTGTTCAGCCAGAAGTCCTCGTCATTTGTAATGTCTGATGTTGAGTGTCTCAGGAGCTTGGCGTTTTCGTGCCTTTGATGTATGAGATCGCACATTCGGCGAGTCAATCTCAATGTTCGTCTCCGGTTGATAGCTGTGCGACAGTTGTGGTACTTCATGCACAGCTGATCCCAAAGATCCCATCGGTTGCCCAAGCCACCAGGCTTCGTCTCGTTCACGTACCAGAAGTCGCAATCCGGAGCGAACCGAGACTCCCAGAACCACAGGAAATTTTGGGCTTCAGTAAAGATTGGATCAGCCAGTTGCAGGTTCCTCACACTAACACTAGGTAGATGGAGGAGAATCGCCGAGATGATTTCGTTTGGCAGCCTTCGCAATAAAGGGGACGACGTCCTTGATACGCACGGCAACTGTTTTCGCTCTTCCCGCAGCGACTCTTTGGCGCATCTACCAATGATTTTTTGTGCATCTTCAACAGGGTTGGGGTGATGTTCAAGTCTTGCCACCATGTCATGCAACTCTGGCAATACATTCGGGTCCATGGGGTTCTCGGCATAGTGGCAATCGCTCCCCAATGAGAAATTCTCTCCGCTGTACAGGTTGAGAAATCCGTCCTCCCCCTCGGGCGGCTCGAGCGGTTGTAGCCTTTCATGATTATGTCCCCAGAAGGCGCCTTCGCTGCTCAATGGGAACGATGCGCAGATGTCAAAGATGGCCTGTACATCTGCCGTCATGTCCAAGCCCCCGCGGGCTTGGCAAAGCATTTTGTAGCACGGCTCGTGAATTGGATAACCGGGCCGGATTGGTCCTTCGTGGAAGGGACGGAGGCCATGTAGCAAGCCATGATACTCTGGCCGTTCGTTGGTGGTTACGCAGGCAATAAGCATAGGATGTTCCCCATTACTCGGGAGCCACAGAAAGCCATCGTCGCATGGGAAACGATTCGAGAGCAGGACGTCAGCGGTGGAGGTATTGCGATTGCTGCGTACTTGAGTTCATTAAGTTGTCATGGGACAGGAATGGGATTCGGCTGCAAGGTGACTACCTACATGTCATCGGATGGTGCTTTTTTATACACTGCAACATATTTGCCTACATTAGCATCTACTTCAACAATAGCCAGGGGAGTTGCGCAGATTCCATACTGACCGGCGCGGACTCGACATCCTTCAAGGATCGCGAAGCCACACAGAAAGCATGTTGTGGAAGGCATTATAGAGTAATGAATGGTCGAGATCCATCTAAAACGATGAGAATAAAATGAAACACTATGACGTTGCCAGTATGCACGGTAAAGAAAGTAACAAGGCTGAGTGCCCAAGATGGAGAGGAGCAGCATATTTTAACTGATAGACAAGAATTCGCCTGCGGTCAAGTTGAGCTGCAGAGATGCGGGCAGCAGCCAGTTAAAGAGGAGTACAGACAAAGTTCAGCAGATGTTCGCCTGGTTTCCAAGCCTACAGCCTGTTCAATGGGCGTTGTTCTCTGTTTATGCAATTGTTCATCAACGACACGGACTGGTCCAAGGTGACCTCACTCCCGATGCCCTTGACTGTCCACCATCTGTTCAGCCTCTGCTCTTGGGGCGTTGTTGCAGACTGTTCGTATTCTTGGCCCCTTGGTAGCGGGCGAATATCATGAACGACGATTCAACGCATTCGCCGTGATACACTGGTCCCCCACCGCAAAAGCCGTGTTCACAATTGCTTCGTAGCCCGCCTTTACACGAGAATCGGGGCAACGTCACAGATGTTTCCGTTGCGTAGTACTCTACCATTAACAAACTTGCGCAAAAAGCCACTAAATTCGCCACTCGGCAGCTTATCTGTGAGCTTTACGTATATCTTATTGATTCATTTGATCGGCTTCTTGCGAGTCTACGCCGAACGGCTAAATCATCTACGTTGCTCTATTATTTCCTAACGCGTTGAATAGTCTTACACGTCGACGCGAACCCAATTATCATTACAGAAAATTTAAAAGCATTTAATTTATCCTCTAAGATTAATTTACTGCTAATTTAGAGCCTTCTTCACCACGAGGGCTTGAGCTATGATTGTGGTATTGTGACTTGCATGAAAATATGGCGTACAGTCCATTGTGTGGTTTGTGTGTTGCTTTTGGGCCAACAAACTGTTCTTTGACTTGGAACATGACGCCACAGTGCCAGCATCACATTCATTGAAGGAACAGGCGGCTATGTTGACCGAAGCAACCTAGGTTCAGAGCCTTATTGTTCTCAACTCCATCACAAAACTACCTGTCTGACAGGTTGACAACCAGAGATAGGCCGTAGTTCCGAGTCTGAAAGTAGACGCATACTTGTCCATTAGCAAAATACTTTAATACATTGTCCTCTTCAACGGCTTGCCTGCCGACCAAGCCACCAAATCGTCCACCTGCTGCTCGTAGAAGCCATTAATGGTTCTCTCCTCCACGTACGCAACGTGCGGTGTAACCAGCACCCGGCTCTTCCCATCCGTGCCCCAATCCGACCTCCGCCACTCGCTATCCTTTGGCAACGGCTCCAGATCAAACACGTCTAGCGCAGCGCCCCTAATCTTGCCAGCCTGGAGAATGTTGAGCAGGTCCCTCTCCACCACCAACGGCCCCCGCGAGGTGTTTATGAAGAACGACGAGGGCTTCATTCTTGACAAGTCTGCCTCCGTGACCAAGCCCCTTGATCGGTCGGACAGGACCAAATGAACACTAACCACGTCCGCCGCGCTGAATAACTCCTCGCGGCTGACGGCCTTGAAAGTCTTTTCGCCGTTGGCCTGTTCGGCGGGCAAGCCCTGCTCCTTGGCCTGGGCATCCGCCGCCTCTTGAGTCAGGTTGGTACTCCACGCGATAATCTTCATGCCGAAAGCGAGACTCATGATGCGCGCCACCGCACCACCGAGGCGGCCTAGACCAACGAGCCCAAGCGTTTTGCCGGATACACTGGTGACGGCGTCTGTTTGCCAGGCGCCGGCCTTGACGGCCGCGTCATTCTGCGGAATGTTTCTAGCAACGCTGAGAATCATGGTGATGATGTGCTCGGTGGTGCTGTCTACCGGCCCAGCGTTATTGTCCATGGTGGCGGTGACGGGTATGCCGCGCTTTTGGGCAGCATCCATGTCAATCGCTTTGTTGCGACGGCCACAGCTTAGGATGAGTTTGAGATTGGGAAGGCGGTTTATGAGATCTACTGGGAGAGGTGTGCGTTCCCGCATTGTGGCTAGAATCGTGAGCTATGAGCTGATTTTCGGAGTGTCACGTCTGGAAGAAAGGGAGGGGGCTCACATATGACCTCAAATGGCTCCAGTCTATTAGCAATCTCATCTTTGACAGCTTGTGGCGTGTCTGGGTGACTATATGGAAGGAGAGTATCCGGGATGTAAGTCACGGCAAAGTTGGAGTCGAGCTTGTCGAAGTGAGGGGGCGCGAAGCCCTGGTAATCGTCGAGAACAGCTACGTTTGTGACCATCTTGGCCGGTCGGTTGAAAGAGAACAAGAGCTTTTTCCAATTCCATGCAATTCAAAGTCGACATATTCCTGCCGTTGTCGCCTAAATATAATAGTTCGTCATTGATGAGCAAGGGTGTTGGTCAGTCAGGCTTCGGATGATTACGCCATGTCCGGTAGTGCGATCGGATGTGCGAGCACTGTGTGGCATTGGCCGACTCGGACCGCGCAGCCCAGTAGTTGCTTACACGGGAGTCATTTTTTTCACGTACGTGTATTTAAGCATTGAAGATGAGTTATTTTAGCATTGTGCCATCGGCATATTTTTTGGCGCTTCATCCATCCTGGTGCGCTCTCTTGGCTGCGGTTGTGAGACCGGCACCTCCACCATCGAACTGCACCAACTCCATCCAACAAGTCCAATTTTAAATCTTGCTCGGCCTTGAACCACCGTCCAACCTGATGACAGTACCGTTTAGCATAACATTCTCAATCGAGTGCTTCACCAGCCCTGCAAACTCCTCCGGCTGCCCCGACCTCTTGGGGAATTCAAATGTGGCCTCCAGCGACTTCCTCACCTTCCCGCTCATCATGCTAGTCATTCTCGTCTCAAACAGCGAGGGCGCAATCGTCACGACACGGATACCGAAGCGCGCAAGGTCTCGCGCCATAGGCAAGGTCATGGCGGCAACGGCGCCCTTGCTGGCCGAGTATGAGATCTGACCCTTTTGGCCGTCGAAAGCGGCCGAACTGGCCACCATGATGACTATGCCGCGCTCGCCGTCTGGTCCCTCTTCTGTTTTGGCAATTTCGGCCACGCCTTGGCGGACAAGGTCCAGAGTGCCGCGCAGGTTGACGCCCAGGACGAAGTCGACGTCGTCAAGGCTGAAGGGGGCGCCGTGTCGATCCAGGATCTTGTGCAAGTCAGGGCTTTCGTTTTTCGTCCTGTCGGCCTCGAGCTTCTTTCAACATACCGTGGCCGGAGTCGAGACTCCCGCAGCAGGTATAACACCTCCAATCGGCTTGTTTGAAGCCTTGGCCCACTCGGCTGTGCCTTGAACAGCCTTTGTGATGCTCTCCGTGTTCAAAACATCGCAGACAAAGAATTTGGCAGATGACCCAACTTCTTTGACCAGCTCACGGCCATCTTCATTCATATCAAGGATGGCAACGTTGGCGCCGTTCTTGATGAGTTCAAGCGCGCATGCTTTGCCCAGGCCGGAGGCTCTGCAAGACATGTCAGTAAACATGTGAAAGGTCGTGGAAGGGAAGTAGCTGCATACCCTCCGGAAATGAGGAATGTGCGGTTTTCAATCTTCATGGTGAAAGGGTGCTTCTCGACTCCACGTTGGACGCATGGAATCTCGTCGTTGAGGCTGAAAGTGAATGAGCAAATACTTAGGTAGGCGTGCTCGGCTTGTGGTCATTGGTCGCCAGGCTGAGGAACCTCGGCTTAGAAGCTGCCTACCTACCCGTCAGCGACTAAGTGGGGTAGTACTCCGTAGACACGCAGTAAGACATTGCCCCGCAAATTGCCTATTTAATCCAACAATCTCAGAGCAGTATCCGCCTCAATATTGCGGCGATGTACGGAGTACAAAATACGGCTTCATCGCATGATAGTACTCCTCCATTGGCGTACGTTTTCCACCAACGAAAAATGCAGGAGGCCAAATTATTGTTCTTGCCGCGTGTATCAAACGTATCGTACCTCATTGTTTGCCTTTTTGTGCCATTATGGAAAGGTTACTCAAAGGAAGGGTAAGCATGTATCCTTCCCTTTGAGCACACATGTAAGGGTTGGAAAACTGTTATTATTTTTATCAATCAGTCTTGTTTCTTTGCCTTGTGAACATAAAATTTATGCGTAGATGCGGGCCAAAGATCTCGTCGATCAAACGCATATGTGACAACTCGAGGGCTTGCTCTACCATTCAAAATGCTTAGTCATCTTCACCGACGTCGCGTCATGCGCTGCCATGGGCTGCGCATCGTGTCATGTTCATCTCACGTCGCTAATCAGTCCACACTACCCTGCAACCAGCATCCTTTTACTCGCCGCTGGTCGAGATTTTTCCGCATAAATTGCCCCTGCGCATTCAACTCAACTTGCGACTGAATCGCTCAGGTTGTATGCACACCGTCGCCCACTATGACGAGACCACGAGGTTCCTCTGGTGCCAGTGACGATAGCACGGGTACGTCCCGCGATCAGGTACGCTTGCGAGGCCTCGGATTGTGCGGAATAGCTTGTGGTGGCGCTGACGACGGATGCAGGAGCTGGGGAGCATGTATGACTATCTAGCGAAGATTATACTTCTTGGTCCCAGTGGCACGGGAAAGTAAGTAGGCTTTGGACCTGCAAAGTATATACCTCGGACTTGATGGGAGCTCTGCTTACAGACTTGCGACAGATCCTGCTTATTGCATCGCTTCGTCAAAAACGAGTGGCGCGTTTTGTCGTCGCAAACAATTGGCGTCGAGTTCGCGAGCAAGATTATCAAGGTCGGAACGGGAGCGCGGAGGAAGCGAATCAAGCTCCAAGTACGATGATAACTCTCCTCAAATCCCGTCTCGTCTGCCAGTGTACACACTGACCAACTTCACTCAGCTATGGGATACTGCCGGCACGGAACGGTTTCGATCAGTTTCAAGATCATATTATCGCGGAGCGGCTGGTGCCATCCTGGTCTACGACATTACATCACATGCATCCTTCCGGGGTGTTCAACCCTTTCTCAACGATGCGCGGGCGCTTGCATCACCAAATTTGAGTCTGATACTTGTTGGAAACAAACTTGACCTTGCTTCAGAGTCATTGATCGATGCGAGCTTGCCACCACCAACACCCAGCAGTGTTGGTTCGACCTCTACCATAACGGCCGGAGGTGCGAGCTCACTCTCAATATCTACCACGAGCACAACCGGAACAATCACGGGAAGGGACTTCTACGGCAGCTCCATGAGCGCTGGCACACAGCAACGGGCAACGATTGCGCCTGACGGACGGGAAATTAGCACCTCGGAAGCAACTCGATGGGCGAGCACTGCTGGGATCCCTGTAGTCACAGAGGTCAGTGCGTTAAATGGAGAGGGTGTAGACGAAGTGTTTGCCCGCCTCGCGCGAATGATATTAACCAAGATCGAGCTGGGGGACATCGACCCCGACGATCCCATGAGCGGCATACAATACGGCGATGGCGGGGGTTGGGACACAGCCCGGGGCG